TCCTCGCCAAGCTGCTGTCAAAATTCCCAGGATTTCACCCCAGTGATATTCTGCACCTCTGGAGTCTGCTGTTCATGAAAGCTTCTGCTGGGATCCAGTCAGACTCCGCAGCCTGAGAAGGAGTGACTCACCAGAAGGGATGAGCAGAAGACAAGCCATGAGAAGTAGTAGCCTAGTGATGCTCTTCTTTTTTCCACCCCCAAGTCACAGAAAGCATTAGGGTACAGACTACACGTGGAAACAACACAGGAGAAGATACAGGTCCCGTGCTGGTGGAGGTACTGCGCTTGGATTTAAATATAAACCTGGAGTTTTCATGCAACTGCATGGTCCCATAGTATTCACTGAATAATAGAGATGTTAATGTTTGCACCCAGGTGAAATTCTCTCTCAGATCAGTTCCTGCCCTGTGGTTTCACTGCTCTCTGTTTTTTCTCAGACCCTGGACTGGGACTGAGGAATTTCCTTTAATGCTGTACATTAAGACCAAGACCTACCTCACTTGTAGAGTATTCCAGGTTCACAGGGACTGGGCAGCGCTACAAAGGCGTCAAAGTGCAGCCTCTCCCTCCTTCTTTTAGGTAAGAGAAGAGGCAAAACACACCAAGCTTCTCTCAGAAGATTTTTATGTTGTGGTCTTGATCCTGAAAAGGCAGAAATACTAACAAACAAAGCCAGTGGTTTTCACCCAAAGGAAGGTTTTGGGGGGTTTTGCTAAAAAGCATATCTACACCTGCCTCCCTGGTACGAACCCACTCCGTAACCTTAGCGCTGGGTACCCAAGCAGAGCTCCGCTGGGACCTGTCCATGCATCTGCTTAACACAGACCTGGCAGGAGGGAGTGGTGCTGGGTGAGGGGTGGTCCGCTGCAGAACAAGGGAGGGCGAGCCTGCGGCATCCTAGGGTGCTGTGCCATGTCACACGGGTGCTGCGGGGCTGGCACTGACCTTGCTCTTCTCCCGCAGCACTGAACATTGGCCCTGGGACCCAGGCAGGAATCACCAGGAGCTGCGAAGTATCGTGACAGCACTCTGCTCACGCGGAAACAACCCCGGATCAGTAAACCTGGCCTACAGCAAAAAGGCAAAGAAATCCGAGCGTTGTAGGCTGACAGAATTAGGTGCCAGACGGGAGGGCTCAGGACACATTGTACAGACTGTTTGTAAAGACGCGTTCCCGGTGTTCTGAGTCCATAAATAACGTTTGCAAAAAGGTATGAGGTGCCTTCCCCAAGGGCTGCCAGAAAAAAAGAAATAAGCAGAGCAGAAGGAGCTTAGGCACATTCCAGTTTGGGGAGGAGAAAGACATCTCTAGCAGACTTCTTGTGGTACCTTTATGATGTTTGCCTTTTCTCAGCCGGAGGGCAGGGGTGGGGGAAATACGACTCCTGGCTCTGACAGCGGCGGAGATCGAATGCTGTCTGCGTAGGCACAGCGCTGGCTTCTCCTCCAGCCACTCCTGAAAGGTGTCTTGAGGCAGGCTGACAGCAGCCGGAGGGGGTTCTGCAGTTGCTCGCGTCCCAGGGACGCAACAGGGATACGCACCCACACCATTAACCCTGGGAGAAAGCGGGAGGAAGCAGGAAAGCGTCTGGGTCTGCGCAAACAAATCTTTTCTTGCTCTTGTTTACAAGGTTGGTCCAGGGCAAAGCATCACCTCTTCAACCCGAACCATGAGCACAGAACAAAACCCGAACAAAGAGCACTGCAAGTCTGCCGACATCCTCGCCGCGATCCCGCAGGGGCCTTGAAGCACGCACAGTTAAAAGAAAGAGAGCATGGAATCATAAAATCAATCATTAAGGTTGGAGAAGACCTCTAAGATCATCAAGCCCAACACCCCCATGCCTGCTAAACCATGTCCCCAAGTGCCGCATCCACATGGTTTTGGAACCCCTCCAGGGACAGTGACTCCCCTGCTGCCCTGGGCAGCCTGTCCCAGTGCCTGCCACTCTTTCAGTAAAGACATTTTTCCTAATATCCCATCTAAATCGTGATAAAAGAGCGTTATCTTCGCTTTATCATCATAGGCTCGGTAAACTCCCATGAAAACTTTGCAGGTTCCCCCTGCTGCTTCCCCAGATGCCTGTGCCTCAGGCCCAAACTCGGTTACCCCTTTAATCCTCTGCACCAGATCCAAGATCAAAGTTGGTGGGACTTTGTTTCATTGCAGCTATTCCCAGCACTGTCCCTGGAATTCAGACAGCTGCTGGTTTTCATTCCTCAGCCATGGGGCAGCCAGGTCTGACGCTTCGGTGTGAACCCCTGGGCTTGGCACGGGCGATGAACCGGAGTCTGTCTCCTGAGATCTCTGCAGAAGATGGCTCACCTTCGTGACGGTACCCCATGGGGATCCATTTTTCAGTGGTGCTTGCCCTGTGGGTAACAACATTTCAGTGGCAGAGGAAGCAGTCCCTGCGCAACCCGGGATCTTTGGAGATGGAAGGTGACCTATTACTGTCCGTTATATTATCCCCGGGAGAGGGGGGAGAGAATTGAAAACATTAAATATTTACTGGAAAAAAACAGGACCAGCCCTGTATTTAATCAAAACATTTTGTTTTGTTCCATTTGTAATTATTTCCATCCAGTGGACAAATATTTTAGCAATGAAAATGACAGTTCCCTTCCGTGGGCAAACAAAACAAGAAGTCATGGCAGTTCCCATACAATGCCACAGCGAAGGTGACACAATTTTTAATGCTGTGTTGAAATCTTCTTTACTTGTGTTCCAGTAATACTGAAGGCGTCAATTTAAGTGTAATGATCCATTGTGCTCAGCGCTGGAGGGTTTTGTTAGGGCAGTGGTGGGAAAACCAAAGATTTGTGGGGAAAGCAGCTGAAGTGACACTTCATTGCCCCTGCAGCGCGTGAGAACATGAACATGAACGTTGAATATGCCCTCGAGACCAACTGAGGCCGAGGTTCCTAGCAGCTGAATGCCAACCTGAGAGCCCACAGGAGTGATCGCTGTTGCCAGCTGTACTAGTACCCTGCTTTTTTTATAGGAAACTCTAGTTTTCACCTGCCGCAAAGAGGTAAACAGGAAAAAAGTACCCATCCCTGTACAGGAGTTGCTTTTATACTCAAATGATTGTCACAAATCGAGGCGATGAATTGCAGGCAGCTTGGTTTCAGTTTATTGAGACCTCAAAGGCTCTGTGTGTGTTTGCTTTGATCGCCCTGTGTCCCTAGAGAGGGTAACGGTGTGTGCAGGTCTCCTACAACACCCGACTGCCCTCCCTTCCCTGTCCCTCGGCTGCCTGAGCTCTGCGTTCCCCGCAGAGAAGTGAGAATGACCGTGGAGACCTCCGCCGCAAACCAGACGGAGATCTACTGGTGAAGCACCAGCAGAAACACGTCGCCGCTTCCACGCACCGGGATGTTTCTTCCCAGAGCCCTCAGACAGTGGTCAGCAATCACAGCTGCATTTTCCTGCCTAGAACAGGCCAGCCCTTCCCTTCCCTGGCTGACTTCTGCGCCCACGTGAAAAGGGATGTGTAATTCACGGACACCGCTACTTGCTTTGAAGTGATTTTTCACCCAGGAACATCAGGCTGGTTTCCGCCCCGCCCCGGTGTAAATCCTGCTTCCCGGTGCTATCTCTGCGCCTCGCCCATCCAACCTGGCGGGGCTATTTTCGTGCCCTCTAGCAACAGATACTCCGCGGAGGAATCAGTGTCTGCCAAGTGTGGTTTAATACTAATTAATGCAGGCTCCTCGCCATTTTTTCCTCCAACTCGAAATGGCAGCGCACCAATCGCACGTCTTTTCTGACCACGAGATCAAAATACCCCACCGAGACCCAGCCGCACGGCCCTTTGCGGCAGCAGCAGCAGAGATCAGCCCCAGCAGAGACCGCCGCCCAGCCGCTCGGACCAGTGGGACATTTCGGGACCCACCTTGCATTCACTCAGCGTCTGGTTTGGGGAGGAGGAGGAGGGTGTCGAAGGGGCAGAGGTTGCCCGAGGTGTGCCCACGCGATGGAGGGAGAGCCAGCTGGGAAGCAACGCGGGAAAGATGGGGAAGCCGGTCTGCAGGCTGGTGGGACGTAATGCCCTTCGTCGCAGGAGGCCAGCACCCCGAGAGCAAGGGGGGGAAGACCACTCCTTTCTCATGAGGGGAAAGCAGGGCAGCCACGTCATACTTGGTAGGCCAGACCTTCACCAAAATACCGGGATGAAATCGCAACTGTTATCTGAGATGCTGAGACCTGCTGGTACCAAACCTCACATGACTCATCGAGAGCTCCACCTCATCCTCCCTTTGGCTGCTGCTGACCTTGCAAAATCTTTTCCTTGCAAAATCTTTTCTTCCCCACAGTTCTTTCCACATAGTATTTTCTGTGCCAGCAGTGAAGTCCGGTCTGCTCTGAGAGGCCGGGAAATCTGCAGAGCACCATCCTTCGAGTGCTTTCAGCTCAACGTGTGATGGCTTGCAAGAAACTGAGAGTTAAAACTCGTCAACGATCCAGAAAGTTTAGGATCTATGCCAAAGAATCCCCTGAAAATAATCACAATCAGCGACTAACTAGAGCTGTGGAGCCTATCTAGCTTTGGCTGTCTTACATCCTGCTGGCTTCCTCCACCCATGGCTTTAAAGATGGCCTCTGTTTCTCCTCAGGCTTTCTCAAAGTGTTTGTGAGCTGCCCAGGCCAAATTTATGTTTAATCTCTGTAAAGGTCCAGGTGTTCAGGTCCAGGGCTTCGATTATGTTCATGCCTCAAAACTGCCAGAGCATTAGCTCGCGTGTGGGGGGACAGCAAGGGAGTTGCGGACTCCCTGCTACATTTGCATCATGATGGATTTTCTCTAATTGTCTTTCTTCTGAATTCTAACTGCTGTGAGGCATTGCAGGCATGCATTCATATAGGCAGAAAGGTTAAATATAAATATATCAATCTGCTGGCCACCAGGAGAGACTAGCATATGAATAGAGGGGCCAGGGAGATTCAGAGTTAAGGAATATTTCTATTTCAAGTGGACAAACACGTAACGCTACCTGCAAGGCTTGCTGATAAGAACATGCAGACGCTCAGGTTGCCGCTGGAGCCAGGAACGCTACACCAGATCTGTTGGGGATCAGCATCCAGCAGCGCCGCAGCCACGCCGCGCAGCTCGGCAGCTTCCCGGGGCCGGCGGCAGGACCGCTTGCCATCCCCCAAGCTTCTTTCTGTGTTGTGGAGTTACCGCTGGCCCACCTTGTCAAAAAAACAAGAGCTTACCGTTAAAACAAAAACAACCTCTAAGGTATGATCCTGCCGACCTGTACCGTCTTCGCAGGACCATCCCCAGCAGCTTACGGATTTCCATCTTGGCTTGGGCCAAGCCACCTACGAACGTGAGGACGGAGCCCATGGAGGCTTGCTGTGTTTGAGGTTGATGGTGGCTGGGATGAGTGGCTGCTGGCAGCACGCTGTCGCCCGTGCCCACCGTCGGGATGGCCAAAGGGACACTCCTCAGGGCGTCTGCCTCATGCCTGCGAGGAGCGGGGACACCCCTCAGCATGGCAGGCCCTGGATTTTCAGCTGAGGGACCCAAACTTGTATGGGGAAACTGGGAGAGAGTGGAAAGTAGCACTCCTGGCCTCCCCACACCCCCTCCTTTTCCCTGCTCGCTCCTTCCCCTTCCCTCGCCGAATCCTCCCCCGGCCTTATCACATTCCCTTCGTTCCTCTCGTCGCCTTCTGCTGCACCCCACCACCTTCCAAATCCCCTCGCTCGTACCCGTGGCACGGGCTGCCCGGCCACCGCGACGACAGGGCTGGGCATCCCCCAGCCTCCCACTCTTCATCTGCTCCCATAGCTCTGAAAAATATCTATATGCTCTCTCACCGCCTCTGCTACGCACGGCACCATGTAGAATCCCCTTCTTCTGGATGCTGTTTACCATAGCTCAGTTTCCATAAACCCTCCTCCATTTATTCCTCACTGGAGCACTCTTATCTTATCTCGCAAACCCGACCTGACATCAGGCCGTTTGGTGTTTATATGAAAAAAGGGGTTGGCTTTTAAAACAGTTCAGCGGCCACAAACAGAGCTGGATCTTCAGAACAGCTTAGCCCGCATCACTGGGCACCAAAAGGAGCAGCCGGCTCTTCCCAGAGGGCTCTCCGCGATGACGCGCTTCGCAAACATGGTGTTAAATATTCCTGAAAGCGGTCCGATGGGGAGCCTGCGCTGAAAAGTCAGGCTCGGTGCCTCCCCGCAGCCAAGCTCACCCGAAATCCTCTCTGGAGCCCTCCCCTCCCGCGCCGCCCTTCCCCGCCTGCCCGCACGCGGGTCGTCGGGGCGAGGGCAGGGCTGGTCCCCCTGCTGCTGGCGGTAACAGACTGGGACCTGACTGATCCAGTTCGCAAACTTGGGATGATATTTTATCGTGTCTTTGCTTGTTACTTCACCTTAAAATTAGCTCAAGAGCAAGCAAATTGTGCTGCCGGCCTGCAGACCACCTCAGTTCACATCTGGGTCGGCGGGAGGGCTGTATTCGCTCTCGCGTTGTGGAGAGCACTGCCAGAAACTTGGTGGAAGGCACCAAAGCTCTCCTTGCACAAATCCACTAAAAATGCGTCCGCCCGTGATTTTCACCCGGCACGAAAACCCGCCTGCGGCAGCCCATCCATTCAGTGGCACTGCCCTTCAGCACAGGACCGTCATGCGGCAGCTGTCGCGGCGTACGACGGTTCGGCGGCACCCGTCCTCCAGCCGCGGAGCAGCGCCGGGTCACCAGGCGACGTGTCGCGAGCCTCCGGATATTTCAGGATACGGAAATCTCTCTCAAGACTACGGATTCATCATCAGCCAACCTGGAAACTTCAGCCTGAGCGGCAGTCTTAAATTAGTAAGCGCAGGGCAGCCTGCAGCGCAATGGCACGCTGTCTCCTTCCAGCCCACGCTAAACAAGCGTACCGAGAGAAGCAGAGTTTTATAGATGAAAGCACGAGGAGCGTGGCTAAGATAAAAGTCACAAAGGTCCTGGTCCCAACCCCTGAAAGTCCTCGGTAGCTTTTCGTTTTCTTCAGCGGGCTCAGGTCAGACCTGAGCAGAGGGGATGTGAACGTATCCCCGGCATTTCCCACGTGGACCTAGAAGAGCCCTGGCTTTGGGGTTACTTTGGAGGGGGAAAAATGTCTCTTTATGATCTCTCCTTCCCCTCTACACCGCGCTAGTGAGGCCTCATCGAGTACTCTGTCCAGTCCTGGGCTCCCCAGTTCAAGAAAGATGAGGAGCTACTGGAGAGAGTCCAGCGCAGGGTGACGAGGATGATGAGGGGACTGGAGCATCTCTCCTACGAGGAGAGGCTGAGGGAGCTGGGCTTGTTCAGCCTGGAGAAGAGAAGGCTGCGAGGGGACCTTAGAAATGCCCATAAATATCTGCAGGGTGGGTGTCAGGAGGACGGGGCCAGACTCTTTCCAGTGGTGCCCAGTGACAGGACAAGGGGCAATGGGCACAAACTGAAGCAGAGGAAGCTCCAGCTGAACACGAGGAAGAACTTCTTCCCTCTGAGGGTGA